CCCCCCCCCCCCCTACCCGCGGCTGTCCTTGTCTGCTGCAGCCCGCCCGGCCCCTCAGGGAGACGCTGAGTGAGACCTGCCGGCCTTCGGGGTGTGCGCCCGGATCCCCGCCCTCTGAGCCCCAGCAGGACAAGGCCAGGCCCCTCTGCTCCTCACCGGGGACAGAGCACAGGCCTGCACGGCCAACGGCGCGTGGTCACCGTCGTGGGAAGCCGGTCTCTCCCTGTGATGCGGCCAGCCACCCGACGGCGCCGAGGTCCAGCGTGGGCGGGCCGTTTCCTCCTCGTCGACCTTGGTGTGATGCGTGCCACCCGATGGCGCAGTTCCCTCAGGGCACGTGTCGGTCACTTATTACCGGCTACATGTGCACACTCACGTGTCCGAGCGTGTCTGGGGACGGCTGGTAAATCGCCGCTGTTTAGTCTGCTGTTCGTCTTCATAGCGAGCTGTGGGGAGTGCGGTCTGGGAAGGGCCTGCCCGCAGGCTGCTTGGTGACTGTGCGTCCATCAGCCGGGCTTTCGATTTCAACTTCCCAGGTTTTTGCCGTGTGGCATGTGCACTGGAGAGGGAGGGGAAGTGAGCAATCGCCCCGGGAGGGATGGCCACGGCACAGTCCATTCTCCACTCGGGATTTTGGGCATGTGCGCACATACGCCTGGCCTGAGTACCAAGCCGCCAGGTCTGGGTCTCGAACTGCGGTCGGTCCTGTGGGAACCCAGCACTGCTCCACCTCAGACCCTGTTTTATACTTTCTTTATAAAGAATTGTGTATTTAATTTAATTTATTCATTCATTCAATTAATCTAATTTGACCAGAGAGAGAGACAAAGAGAGAGACAGAGAGAAGGAAAGTGAGAAAGCCAGCCACCAGTTTCTGGACTTGAACCGTGGGCGCCCATGTGCAAGTGTCCAGTACCTTAACCACTACCCCCCCTGCTGGCCCCATTTTAAACTTCTTTAAAGGCAAAGTTTTGAATTTTGATGAAACAGATACATTGGGCTTTTTTGTTTGTTTTCCCTTTTATGGCAAAAGCTTTTTATTTTATCTATTTTTCCTTCTATTATTTTTTTAGTTTTTCACACCTTGTATTTTAGTCCGTCAACTCCTTTTTCTGTCTTTCCCTCCCTTCCTTCCTTTTGGCCAGCGGGCGTGTGCGCTCCTGTGAGAGGGAAGGGGAGAAGGCACCGGCGACGCTGGGTCGTGCTCGGCTCCTTCTCCTCCGTGTCACCTCCCACGGAGACCAGGGCACACACGCGCATGCACCTGGGTGTGTTCCCAGCCACGGAGGCCAGGATTCGATCCACGCCCTCAGTCACGTGGGGTCCAGCTTCCTTAGCCACCGGGCCCCGGTGCCAGCCCTGATCTATCAGCCCTTGGAAGTTATTTTCCGGATATGGCATCAGGTCAAGGTTGAAGCTCATTTTCGGGTTTTTATTTATTTCTTCCATGAGCAAGAGAGACAGAGACAGAGAGAGACAGGAGCCCCTTCAGGACGTTGGCTCCTCAGCCCCTGCAGCTTTGGCTACGCCTGGGGCACGTGCGTGCATGTGTGTGTACTCGGGGTCAGCCCAGGAGCCTCCAGGGTCACCTCCCCAGGGTCCTGGATTGCTGCTGCGCCGCTGCCAGCACTGAGGCTCGCTCCGTAGCATGTCCAGCCCCGCTCCCCGACAGCACCGCCTTCTCCCACCCGGCTACCGCGCACCTGTGAGCAGTACCACCGACGAACTCAGCGGCCGGGGCCAGGCTCCCGACGCCGTCTCGTGGATCGGCGTTACTCGGCTGCCTGCCCCCATACTGCCTCGTTACTATCCTTTCACCTGAGTTTTAGACAGTGTGCGCTTTGTCAGAGCTGGAGTGATTCTAGCCATTCTAGATGCTTCAAATTTCCATCTGAGTTTAGACCTGACCTCTCAGTCTCTGCCTAAAGGCTGCCAGCCTGTCATTCAGCCTACGAAGAATCTTGCAGGTCAGTTTGGTGAGCTCGGGCATCTTTATTTTGTTTACCTTTTAGGACTTGCCATAGGGCACGTGTTCTTGCTGGAGAGAGACAGTGAGAGGGAAAGTGAGACATCGCCCCCGGGGGGGCGGGCCATGCCACAGTCCGCTCCTCTCCATTCTCCTTCTGGGATTTGGGCACGCCCAGGGCTGGCGTGGGTTTCAAGCTGCCAGGTACGGGACTCGAACCCCAGTCAGCCTGTGGGAGTCCAGCACCTTTGCCGCCACCTGCTGGCACCACGCATGGGCACCTCCCTAAGGCTGAGTGTCAGGTCAAGGAGCGCAGTTCAGCTCTGGGAGGCTTCTCCGTGTTAGCCCAGCGAGGGCTTGCTGTTTCACGGTGCCGACGTTGCGGATGCCTCCTAAATTTTACCCCCAAGTTTTTACGTTTATTGATGTTATACAAATGGAATTGCTTTCTTAGAGATTTTCTTGCTATAGTGCACATGCCCTTGCTGGAGAGAGAGAGACAGAAAGCAAGAATCCCCTCCCAGGGGGGCTGGCCATACCACAGCCTCTTCTCCTCCATTCTCCTCTCAGGATCTTAGGCAGGCACCCGCATCTGGAATGAGTTTCAAGGCTCCAAGTCTGGGACTCGAACCACAGATGGCCATGTGGGAGTCCAGCGACATAACCATTACACCATCTGCTGGTCCCCAAATGGTATTGTTTTCTTTTTCTTTTTTAAAGCATTTTTTTTTTTGGAGAGATTTTTGCTATAGGGCACGTGCGCTCGCCAGACAGACAGAGAGAGACATAGAGACAGAAAGTGAGAAATCACCCCCCAGGGGGGATGGTCACACCGCAATCCCTTCTCCTCCATTCTCCTCTCGGGATCTTGGGCACGCACGCACACGCGCCCGGCGTGAGTTTTAAGCTACCGGGTCCAGGACGCGAACCACGATCGACTATGTGGGAGTCCCACGACATAGCCATTACGCTAACTGCTGGTTCCCATTAAAGCATTTTTATTGTTTCTGTTTTCTAAATTACTATCCTCCAGAGGTCACTGCGTGCCTATGAATACAATGTGCTTTTATCTTACTGTGGCACCTGCTGCCTTGTTACACTCAGACACTATTTCTTGTAACCTTTCTAGGCTCCCTGGGAATTGTTACATATATAATCTTATTTCTGGTAATAAGGACAGTTCTGCTTCTATTTCTAACGTTCCTGCCTTTGAAAACTGACCTCACCTCACCCCACCCCTGCGTGGCAGCCATGAGCAGGCTCTCCGCTGGGAGAAGAAACGAGACTCATGGATCTTTTGACAAAAGCCAACTTGATAACGGAAAGCAGGTGAAACGAAGAACTCGCATCTAAGCTCTTCTGGCGAACGGTCAGCATTCGGCCGATCAGCGTACCCCGAGTTCTGAAAGGAGCTAGCAGTTGTCAAGTAAGAACGAGAACTTGTGAGAAAGGACTCAGTTACAGCAGGGGCCACGACGGATTAACACCTGAAAGCAAGCTCGGCAAGCTCCTTGCGCTCAGCGTACCGTCTTCCGGCCGCATCCGCCCTGTCACGAGTGACGTCGCTTTCCTCGCTTTCAGAGATAACCAGGGGCTCGTGCACTGGGCACAGACAGACAGACAGACGGACAGGGAGGGGAAGGGCACCCTGCAGGAGGCACGGTCACGCTGCCGTCCCTTCTCCTCCGTTTCCCCGCGTCGGGATTGGGGGCACACACGCACGTGCCCAGGGTGCTCCCCAAACAGTCGAGCTGGGCTTTGAACCTCCCGGTCGGCCAGGCAGGACCCAGCTCCTTACCACAGCACCACACGAACCCTAACACCCTCTGAAGCCTGAATGGTGCTTGGCGTTTCCTTCCGGTTCATCAGTTTCCCTGGCCCCTGGTTTTCAGCCGAGGTCACGGGCCGCCTGAGCTGTGGGCTTCCTCCCTGGCGGATGACTCGGTGCAGGGCATCCCGGGGGGACCGAGCACGCTCCGGGCGGGGCTGGGTCTGTGTCCCCGCCTTTGCCCCGTCTCTCCGCTCACAAAGCTTCCAGGGGTCCATCATGGGGGCCACCTGCCCACCTCCCCGAGGCGCCACCTCTCGGTCCCGCAGTTGGTCAAGGTTCCTCTTACATCTTCACGCCCGAATTCCAACACACGCTCCTTGGGGAGGTCACGTAAGACAGAGCAGAGGAAAAGCAGTGACAAGTGTCTCTCACCCTCATGGCTCGCCCCCCAGCCTGCCTCTGAAGGTTAGGTGTTTGTGCAAGTGCTCGGAAGCTTGCTGGGGTAGACGCCCCACGCAGGAGGGAGAAGCCTCCCCCTGTCCTGGGTGGTCCTCCCTAGGGCTGCACACGCAGGCTCCACGGAACACCCGGAGGTCAGCACGTCTGCGCCGTCGTCCTCGGGCAGCTGCGGGGCCTCTGGGCAGAGCAGGACCAAGTGCGGCGGGGAGGGACGAAGGGGAGGACCGTCATGGTCGCTTCCACCCACAGGCTGCACCCCGCGAGCACCACCCCGACCTCTCTGTGCCTGAGGAGACGCTTGGGCCGGGAAAGGAGGGCCCGTTTCTGCCCCGCACACTGACTGGGGCGCTGGCTGGGTTCAGTGGAGGACGACTGCAGAGACCAGGTGGTTCTGGAGTGAACAGGCAGGCTCACGCCCTGGGAGTCTCAGGGCCAGCAGGTGGCGTGGTTAAGGCACTGGACTCCTGCAGGGCCCCCATTTGTTTGAGTCCTGGACTGGGACTTGCTTCCTCCCTTTCCCTGTCTCTCACACGTGGTGAGCGCATGTGCCCTATCGCAAAATATCATACAAATAATAAGTTATATTTAACACACAATTCTAAAACAGAAGGATTTTAAAAGAAAGAGAAACGCCTCGGCTAAAGGCCCCACGTGCCCACGTGCCCACAGTGAGAAACACGAGCAGACGTCCCCAGGGCAGGTGGGCGTTTGCAGAGCCTCGCCTCGCTACCACGACCCCTGGCAAAGAGAGGGACTCGCGCCTTAGCTGCTCCTGCACGGAGGCTCGGCCGGCTCTGCCAGGCAGCCGGGAGAGCCCGTGATAAGTAATAAGATCACAGCGCCCGCCCAGCGGGGTGAGGCCACCGGTGTGACCCCGGGGCTTGGGCCGGGAGGTCGCCCGGGCTCCGCGCTGGCCGTGAGGAGTGTCCCTGTGTCAGCCGGGTCCCCTATTGCCCTGGCTCATCCTGGCCAGCGCTTGTCTGCCCGGAGTGCTGAGGACCGAGGCCGACGTGCGGGAGCTGCGTCCGCTGGGTCTCCATGGCCTTTCTGAGAGAAAGCACCCACTTCGCTTACATTGCCCCGTTTATCTGCTCTTTATGTGGTTTCCGTCTTCCCCACTCCCCGTCCTTCTCTGCATTTCAAAATTAGTCTTAGGAGCAACAGAGAGACCCAGAAATCCGGTCTGGGTTTCCTGGACTGCGGCAGCTCAGGGGCACACATCGGGCGCTGGACGCCGCAGATTCGTCTCCCAGTTAGGGGAGACACAGAAATGAAGGCGTGGGGGCCAGCAGGCTGCACGGTGCTGGAGGCGAGGCGCTGGACGCCCACGCGGCTGACCAAGGTTCGAGTCCCACAACTGGCAGCTGTGCCCTCACTTTTCCTCTCTGTGTCTCTCTCTGGTGAGCACCCATGTCCCGTGGCAAAATTTAACATGGTAATAATTATAATAAAATTAAATGTAATAATTCTTTTTAAGAAGAAATCACAGTGTTGACAGGGCCAGCATCTTCAGAGGCCTGTAGAGAAGGTCCTTCCTTGTCTCTCATGGCCTCGGGGAGCCCCGGGCGTTCTCGGGTTGGTGACAGCATTCCGGATGCGAGTCTGTCTTCACATGGCTGTCCCCCTCTGGTGGTGTCTGTGACTCTTCTCCTTGTCTGAGACGCACACCCGTTACGTAGGGTGAGGCTCCACTGCGTCCGCCGCGTGCTCTCACTGACTGATCGCGTCTGTAAGGCCGAGTGCTGCCAGGTAAGGCCTCATTGGCAGCTGCTGGCAGTAAGCGTCGGACACGTTTGTAGGGACACAAGACAGCCTCATAATATCCTTCCGAAAGGACCGGATTTAACCACTGGCCCGGCCCCTCCCCAGGCACAAGCTCCCCTTTACATGGAGCGGCCCCCTGTATTTGACTGTGTCCGCGAGACGCACGTGTGGGGTGCTGTCACATGTATGGCTCTCTGCATGAAGAGACATGCCCCAACCTGGGAGTCACGTGAGAGGGAGGGAAGGTTTGACCTCAGCCCCATCACCCGATCTCCGCTCACACCGAGCTCGCTCTGTGGTTTTAACACTGAAGGCCCTTCAGACGGCACGGCTCCTGAAACCCTCTCCTGTCCGCCTTGGCAAGTCTGCTTCCGTTTTGTAATTGCAGAGGGCACGCGTGCTCGGCAGAGCGAAAGAGGCAGCAGAAGCGTGGTCATGGCTCTCCCTTCTCCTCCTTCCCCGTCCTGCTGGGATTCAGGACGTGCACACTCCCACGCTGTGTCCTTCAAGTCTCCAGGGCTGGGATTTGAACCATAGTTGGCCGTGCAAGATCTGGCCCCATTCTAGCCACCAGGCCTGAGTCTAGAACCGTGGTCAGCCATGTGGGAGTCCAGCGCCCTTAGCCACCACGCCACCTGCCTGTCCAGCTCCAGTTATGAAACGTGTGCACGTATTGGAAGCAGGACGTGTTGGAATAGCCGAGGTTCTCTTCCTAGGCGTGGAAGCCCACGGAAATCACAGAGAGCGGACGGGGAACCTGCCCAAAGCCCCCTCAGTGGCCCTGAGGCTCGAGTCCCACAGGGTAGCAGATAATCCCTCATCCCACTGACTCCGGGAGTCCTCCTGCTGGGAATCCCTCCCGAAAACTCCCCAGCGTTCCAACAGAGATGAAGGGAGCCCTGCCTCTTGGCTCCTTCAGAGAACGCGTTCCTGAGTCAGGTCGGGCGCCCTGGGATGGGCCTCGGAGCAGTCCCCTCCCGGCTGCTAGGTGACGGCAGGGTTGAGATAAGAGGCCATGCGCTGTCTTGCCTGGTGAGTTTGATAAGAGAGCAGGTGGCTTAACTCAGTTCCTCCACACTTCCCCCGTGGGCAGGCCCTCCAGCCTGAGGGACGCAACTAAGGGCCCACCCTCGCCAGTGAGAGTGCACCCAGGGTACGAGGAGCCCTGCCAGGCCTTCGTGTGGGGAGACACAGCAGGCCTATCCTGCTGGGGGGTCCTCGGAGCTGGCGAGGCACCACCTGACCCCACGGGAGGGCTCCGCTTCCCCTGCGGCAGGCTCGGCTCGCTCTGCACTGACAAGGGCTGCTGTTTGACGCGGGTCTTCCTTCCTTCCGTTATTTAAATGGAAACTACTACTTTTTTTAAAAATAATTATTTTTATTTCATTTTATTTATTTTATTTGATCAGAGAGGTACAGAGTGACAGAGAGAGCGAGAGAAAGAGGGAAAGTGTGAAAGCAAGCTGCCGGGTCCAGGACTCGAACCGTGTCAGACATGTGGGTCTAGCGCCTTTAGCCACCACGCCACCTGCTAGCCCCAACGCTGGTCTTCCACCCTCCATGCAGTTACAGCGGCGTGGGAGGTGGCACCGCTGCCCACGCAGAGCGGTCCGTCGAGGGGTGACGGTCAGTGCCGTGGGCCCCACCCCGTGCAGACATGAGGCAGCAGGGCCAGGTCTGGTAGCCGGGCTTTGATGCACAGAGCCCAGGCTTCCCGTCCAGGGTCGGAGGTCATGCTGCTTCCTGGGGTGGCTTCCGGGGGGCTCAGGGGTCCAGGGACCTCTGCTCCCTCCACCCTGCCCTCCTTCTGTCCCCTGAGGGCCCACTCACCCACACTCTCTAATAGCACTTTATTTTAATACCATGACTCAGCTGGGTTGCTTTCCCTTTGCCAGATTGTAAAATATCATTTTAATATTTTAAACAATTATTTATTTAATTTTATTTATTACTATTATAATTTTTTAATTTGCTATGGGGCAAACACACTCATGAGAGAGAGAAAAAAAGAGAGAGGGAAAATGAAAAGCCAGCCACCAGGTCTGGGATTCGAACCATGGTCAGCCATGTGGGAGTCCAGCACCTTAACCATCATGCCTCCTACTGGCCCCGTAATTTTCTTCTTCCTTTTTTTTCCTTTTTTTTAGGGAGAGATTTTTGCTATAGGGTATGTGTGCTTGCCAGAAAGACAGAGAGACAGAAAGTGACAAATCACCCTCCAGGGGGGATGGCCATGCCGCAATCCCTTCTCCTCCATTCTCCTCTCGGGATCTTGGGCGCACACACACATGCCTGGAGTGTTTCACACCACCAGGTGCAGGCCTTAAACAGTGGTCAGCCATGTGGGAGTCCAGTGGTGCAGGCCTCAAACAGTGGTCAGCCATGTGGGAGTCCAGCACCCTAGCCACGAGGCCATCTGCTGGGCCCCAGGTAGTGTGCTGACAGTCAGGTGTGTGCCTCACCACTTCACCGGAGACCGCCGCGCACAGCGGTTCATCCCGGGCACTGCCGAGAGATCACAAGAGACCACGCTGCGTTCTGTTAGAGCTGTGGTCCTCCTGGTGGGTTGCATACTCCGAGCCCAAGGACTTTTAAAAAGTCCTGATGCTTGGTGCCAGCAGGTGGCATGGTGGTTAAGGTGTTGCACTCCTGCGTGGCTGACCCTGGTTTGAATCCTGGATCTGGTGACCTGAAACTCACACGAAGCGTACGTGCGTGCGTGCCCCAAATCCCGACAGTGGAGAAGGGATTGCAGAGTGGTCGCCCCTCCCTGGAGCGATTTCTCCTTTTCCCTCCCATTTTCTCTCTCTGTCTCCTATGAGTGCACATGCCCCATGGCAAAAACAAAAAAATTCCTGATGCTTAAGCCCCATCCTGACACTTTCTTCTTTTTTTAATTTTAGAGAGAGATTTTTACTATAGGGCACAGGTGCTTACCAGAGCGACACAGAAAGAGAGATAGAAAGTAAGAAATCACCCCACAGCGGGGAAGGCCATGCCTTAATACCCCCTCCTCCATCTTCCTCTTGGGATTATGGACCACGGCTGACTACATGGGAGTCCAGTAATGCAACCATTCTGCCATCTGCCGGTCCCTGGTTTCTTATTTTAACAAAAAGATTAAGAACTTTGTCTTATTTAAGTTAGAATATGTACCAAGTGCAAGCATAGACTTTATCTGAATCCTGATTTAAAAATAAACAGGGTCAGCTGGTGACATAGTGGTTAAGGCACTGGACTCCCACATGGCTGACCGTGGTTCAAGTCCCGACTTGGTGACTTGCTTTCTCACTTTCTCTCTCTCTCTCTCTCTGGTGAGCACACATGTCCCATAGCAAATTTAGAAGCAGTAATAATAAAAAGTAAAATCGAATAAACAATTCTTAAAACCAAATGATAAGGCCGGCTGGTGGCGTGGTGTAGGGCGCTGGATCCGCGTGACTGACTGCGTGGTCTGAGTTCCAGACCCGGCAGCTCGAACACCAGCCGGGGCATGTGCATCGTGCCCCAACACGGAAAGAAGTGGGGGAGGAGAAGGGGTGTGGCGTGACCACCCTGCACAGCTGGTGCGAGTCCCGGACCCGGGATGTGGCGTGACCGTTCTAGGTGGCCGTGGGTCCCGCTGGATCCTGTCGCCGTGCAGAGGGGACGGTACTTACTGGGACTGAGAATGCTTTACGACCTTCGTCCTGTCCCTGAACGAGCCCTGGGACGAGTGGCCGGAGCTCTGCGCTGTGGGAGGGTTCTCGAGCCAAGGCCCCGGGAAGTGGCTGAGAGACTGTTGCAGAAAGTGGCTGTCACTTCCTGATGGTGACTCGAGACCAGAAACTGGGCAGGGTTGAGAACTGAAAATCCGAGCACGCCTGTCCCTGTGTACTCCGGAGTCGAGAGGTCGCTCCGACGACGCCAGGGACCGAGGGGCGCCCTCGGAAGAGGCTCCGGTCGCCATGAGCCCCCAGTTGCTGTCCCTGCTCTGCTTTGGTGAGTCCAGGCGGGGGTGGGGCCGGCTGGCGGTGGCGCGCTGGGCCTCGGAGGCAGCGGGAGCTGGCGGGGCCTGGTGGGGGGTGGCAGATGGCCCGGCCAATGACAGACGCGTGCACGTCCTGGCCTGTCCTGTGTGAGGACTGCTCCGTGCTCTGCACACGCTGCACTCCAGCCACTTTCTGAGTCACCGTCCCTGGACTTCCCGGTGACGTTTGCCGTAAGTACGTGACTCCTGTCCTCTCCTCCATGACAGTCCCTTGAGATTGGCCAGCTTTCTATTCTATTAGAATACATGCCTACTTAGGACCAGCAGTCGGCGTAATGGCTATGTCGCTGGATTCCCACGTAGTCGACCGCAGTTCGCATCCCGGACCCAGTGGCTTAAACTCACACCGGGCGCGTGTGCGTGCGTGCCCAAGATCCCGAGAGGAGAATGGAGGAGAAGGGATTGCGGCGTGACCATCCCCCCTGGGGGGTGATTTCTCACTTTCTGTCTCTCTGTGTCTCTCTTTCTGGCGAGCACACGCGCCCTATAGCGAAAACCTCTCCAAAAAAATCATCCTGACGATGTGGGCCAGCAGGTGACACAGTGGGGACATCCCTGGACTCACATGGCTGACTACAATTTGAGTCTCAGAACTGGTGGCTTGAAACTCAGGCCTGGCGCATTTGCGTGTGTGCCCCAAATCCTAGAAAAGCATGGAGGAGAAGGGATTGCGGTGTGGCCATCCCCCTGGGGTGTGTGTGTGTGTGTGTGTGTGTGTGTGTGTGTGGTGATTTCTTGTTCT